AAACCAAGAGCAGAAACACCCCCCCATAAATTGCCAGTGGACGACAGCTCTGATGGGGTGGGTGGGTCCCACCAAGCGCCTGATGCTGGTTCTCCTCCTATTGAGGAGAACCAGATGCTCATTGTACCGATATATGGTCGGATTTTACAGGTGTCAGTAACAGACATCCTTTTTGGGCTAGGACTGCACAGAGGGCTGGTGAAACTCTTTGGTCTTACCCTTTCTGGCTGTCTCAAGTTGACGAGAAAACTCTACGAGGAATTGTCAAGGACCCAAGGCAAGGTTTACATCAATGATTAAGACAATGGGTAAAAACTAAAGACGGTGAGTATACGAATACTTCAAAGGGTCCAACAAATGCCACCCTAAAAACAACAAACTAACCCAACACCAAAAACAGATTCAAAGGAGGAAGGCACAACCATCCATTAAAAAAAAAAAACCACTCAAGCAGCCAGTTACTGAGGAAAAGCTTGCCTGAAGAGAAAGGTCTTCGCTTCCTTGTGGAAGGAAGAAGGCACAACCATCCATTTAAAAAAAACCACTCAGGCAGCCAGTTACTGATGGAAAGCTTGCCTGAAGAGAAAGGTCTTTGCTTGCTTGCGGAAGGAGAGCAAAGATGGGGCCAGACGGGCCTCCAGTAGGAGGGAGTTCCAAAGTCTAAGGGCAGCCACAGAGAAGGTCCTCTTCCCATGTCCCCATCAAATGCACCTGTGAAGGTGGCAGGACCGAGAGAAAGCCTCCCCTGAGGATCTTAACACCGGAGCAGGCTCATAATGGGAGATACGGTCTTTGAGATAACACGGGCCCGAGCTGTTTAGGGCTTTTATAGGTTAGAGTCAACAATCTGAACTGTGCCTGGAAACAGATGGGCAGCCTGTGGAGCTGCTGTAATTGGGGGGTGGGTGGGTTATGTGATCCCTATGACCAGTCCTGAGTAACAAATTGGCTGCTGCATTTTGCACCCACTAAAATTTCTGCACACTTTCCGAATGTCCCACATAGAGTGTGTTACAAAACTCCAGCTGGAATGCAACTAAGGCATGTGTCACCTTAGCCAGGTCAGACCTAGAGATGTAAAATTTCCAAAAAATTGCTTTTTTCAGAAAGAAAAACAAGTCCCCCCCCCTGTTTTTTTCCCCCAAGAAAAAAATTGACCTCTACAGGAATGGGCAGAGCCGGGGCACAACTTTTCAGCTCTGAACAAAATCCGTGTCCATTCCTGTCGAGACGCAAAGTGCGGCAATACAGCAAACCCGCGACACCACCTAGCCAGACAGCAGCAGAATGGGGCTGTTTTTGTTGCAATAAAAATAAAAGTAAATCAAGTGAAATGAAAAACCCCACAATGTGGTTTTGCAAAAGCCTGTTAGTCATAATTCTTCAGTGCTCCAAAGAAGAGTTTCTTCACCTCTGAAAGTCTCATCATTTTAGGAGCGGTGGGGGAAAGAATTTGGTGATATAAACAAGGAGGGAAATGTGACCATTCCATGCAGTTAACAAGTCAGACATTACTCTAGAATGTTTCTCTTTCTCCCACAACATCCTCTAACTTTATGTAAAATGTACCAATATATTTAATAAACAAGATCACATCATTTACAAATACCTACAGGTAATTTTGTTACCGATGGGTGTGTTTATAGTCGGATTGATTACGCTGAAATATTTCCAACTCGGTTACTGTGTCAGCTTCTTCCAGCAAAACCAGGCATCTCCTGGCACTTTAAAGACTGACCGGTCATATAAACTTTGCATCCGATGCCGAGCGAGCAAGAGCCCACCACCCTGCCAGCCAAATACAGTGGACCCTTGACTTACAGACGGCTCGACTTACAGACTTTTCGAGTTACAGACTTCTCTGGCCGCAAAATTTAGATTCGATGTATAAACTTTGCATCCGATGCTGAGCGAGCAAGAGCCCACCACCCCGCCAGCCAAATAAACATGAAAGATTCCCTGAGCCTTAGACGAGGCGTGAAAGACAATCTTGTGTCGTGGTCCTGAAAAGCAATCTTCACAGCCTCGGCCATAAGCATCCCAAACCAGACCTCTCTCTCCCCCCATCTCCCCAAAATTGAAAGATTCCCTGAGCCTTAGATGAGGCATGAAAGACAATCTTGTGTCGTGGTCCTGAAAAGCAATCTTCACAGCCTCGGCCATAAGCATCCCAAACCAGACCTCTCTCTCCCCCCATCTCCCCAAAATGTCACTCTTTTGAAATCTATTTCCCCTTCTGTTTCTGGGGGCGGCTGATTGACATCCCATTAAAAGGAGCGAATGGAGGCAGGGCTACCGCCTTACCTCCTGCCGTAACCCTCCCCCAGTTTTCCGCAGCACTGATTTATATGCACCGAGCAGGAGGCCACCCACACAGAAGAAGCATCCCCCGGAGAGTTCAGAGAGACAGAGAGAGAAAGATATCCACGACTGGGGACGGAACGGATGCTAAATTTAACACCTTATTATTATTATATGCTTTTTGCTTAGGTTCTTCCCGGGCCCTGAGTAGATGGAGAAAAATCAAACTTTGCATGGGGAGTTCCCTCCTGCAGACTCGAGGATCTGTACCTTCACTTCCTCCCTTCAGATGCACTGTCCTATGTCACAGATTTTCATGCCTGTAGCCCAGGGTGGACAATGGACAATATTGACCTTCCATGGTCACCTGGAAAGGATGGCAGGCTTGTGAGTGGGCAAAGCAAGACATCGGCGTAGAAGGTCACTGTTTCCACCCAGGGTGACTTCAGAGAAAGACAAAAATTGTCAAGGGGAACCTTTACCTTTACCTTTACCTTTAGCCCAGGGTGGACAATGGACAATATTGACCTTCCATGGTCACCTGGAAAGGATGGCAGGCTTGTGAGTGGGCAAAGCAAGACATCGGCGTAGAAGGACACTGTTTCCACCCAGAGCGACTTCAGAGGGGAAAAAAATCTCAGTTACCGGGCTGGGGGAAAAGAAGGCTCCAGGACCTGCAGAACTGAAGGCTAGCCCCCACTCATGACAATCCTTGTAGTCAACCTCTCACCCCAAAAGAGAACCTAAAAATACAGACCACTGTTGAGCCACATCAACAAAATAGTCCTAGCTATGACGCTCTCTGCCAGGAGCAGGTGTTTTGTGAACCTAATGGATCTAAGTTGCCCATTCAGTTCACTGTTTCCACCCAGGGTGACTTCAGAGAAAAAAGATCTCGGTTACCAGGTTGGGGGAAAAGGACCTGCAGAAGAGTTAGTCAATTCCAGCTAACCATCACAGACGGAAGATTAAATCCTGAAGGCTAGCCCCCACTCATGACAAGCCCTGTAGTCAACCTCTCACCCCAAAAGAGAACCTAAAAATACAGACCGCTGTTGAGCCACATCAAGAAAATCATCTTAGCGATTTTACTGTCTGCCAGGAGCAGGTGTTTTGTGCACCTAATGGATCTAAGTTGCCCATTCAATATTCAGTCGTCTCCAAGTACTTTCTACAGCAACCCGGGATGACTCGCAACTAAGTGGTGGCTGGGAACCCTCCCCTCCTCACAGCAAGCTACCACGAGCATTACAGCTAAGCTGAAAAGGCACAAGGATCTCGATGGGGTGGCAGAGAAGGTCGGTGACCCTGCTAAAATGCCACAGTACAAACAAACCGTGTCTCTACAAAAACACTAGAGGCAACACCGTGCTGGACAGAGGGAAAAGGCAGTGGTTATCTGGAAGATTCTGGAAGTAACTTTTCCAAGATCTGTGCAGGACACTCATCTTATTTCCCAAGAGATATTTGTGGATCTGATCTGGACTATGCAACGTTAAAAGCCCAGACGAGATACACCGGCAGAAGTGAGCAGGAGACGGGGCAGAACAGAAGGCAATGTTAGGGCCATGCACGGCTGATACTGGAATGGGGGAAAACAGGGAGATGTTTACAAGCCTGGAGGACTTCCAAGTTTCCAGAAATGCACAAAATAAAATAAATCATAGAAACATTTGTGGGAGAACCTATTCTTCCCCCCCACCCCTTTCCAAAAACACATTCAAAGAAGCCAAACTACACTCACCTGACAAGGGCTTTTGGCTGAACTTTGGGGGTTGGAACAGAACAATGACGGAAAGAGGACGAAGGAAGGAAGGCGGAATACAAACACGGCTTCACTTTTTTTATATATAGATCCCGTTTGACTAAACACTGGATTCTCTTAATTCCCATGCAAAAAAGGAAGAGAAGATGCACACAAGCAGTATCGCCTGGCCAGCCAGTAATGAGATATGGCTTTTGTTGTGACTCAGAAGCAGATGCAGCTCCGCTGGTACATTAGTCACAATCCTCTACATGTTTCCAGACCCACCGCCTGTGTTATATTTCTGCTTAAAACAGACACCAACAACGCCCAATTCCACACTATGCCCTGCAGATCCTATATGTATGTGTGTGTGTGTGTGTGTGTATATATACACACATATACATAATGCATTATATCTGTGCAGATTTATGCTTTTACAGGCATACTTTCATGAACTGAGCTAGCAGCAATAAGCAGCATAGTTACCTGTAACAGTTACTTTTCAGGCAAAGGGAGTCATGGAGTTACATTTTAGAAGTGATGTGAGTGGTAGCCAGAAAGTTACTTGAAAGGTTTTCTAGTTCCTTTCAAAATATACTTTTCAGTGATCCAAATAGTTTTGCCTGCCGCCACACTTTGTGCTACAGCTGGGTTTTGTTACGTGATTTCAAAGGTCTTGAAATCCTCACTGAGGTAGCTCTGTTTTGCAATATTGAATCAGAACAACCCCACTGGGCCGAGGAGTGGCCTGTAGAGACACAGCTCAGCCTTCCAGCAAATGGTCAGGGAAGAACTTGCTCCTTTGCTTGTGAATGGGTGCTGGGCGTGGAGCAGAGAATCAGAGCACCGTGGAGTGGGAAGGGGGCCTTGAAGGCCATCAAGTCCAACCCCCCCCCCGCTCAAGGCAGGGACCCAAATCAAAGCAGAGCCGACGAGAGGCGGTCCGCCTTACCTCTTTTCCGCCACCACGAGCCCTCGCGGACGGAATAGGACAGGTCAACAAACTCAATGTCCACCGCGGAGCGCTTGGGCAAGTGGGAGAAGCGCTGGGCGTCCGTGATGTGGTTCTCCACTTTCTTGAGGTGGGTGGTCAGGAAGGGGGCATCCGGCGCCCCAGAATGGCAGACGGGGTCCTCGAGCGCGATGGAGACGCAGGAGGGATCCAGGCCCTTTTCCGCCATGGCCGGACAGCTGTGAGTCAAAAGGGATAAAATAAGGTCATCAAATCAGGAATGCATTCACATTTAAAAATAATAATAATAATATCTAGACCATTTGCAGAACTGAGGCAAAGTTGTTTTTTAAAAAAAATAACGTTGGCAAGCCCTCTAACCAGTAATCTCAGCCATAGAGTTACCCCCACAGAGGAGCCTACCCACAAGTATTATAATCCCTCACATTTCCAGGTGCCCATGGCTGGTGAACTGCTCACGGATCACCTCCCCTACACATACAAGAGGCGGCTGCACAATCAGGATCTGCAACTGAGGGCCCTTGGGGCCCAATCCGGCCTCCTGAGTAGAAAGCGACCTGCCCCCTTCCGGGAGCCAAGCCAGCTGTGAAAGAATGAGATCGGTGGCATTCGTTGTGGGAGCCGAGCAGGGCAGCCTTGATCGACCCCCTTCCTCCCTCTTTCGAGAGGAGCTGTCTAGCCGTGCCCAGTTGCCGACTAGGTGAGGAACAGCCTTGATAGACGGCCAGTCTGCAGGAGACAGACTCTGATCGCACGCACACTACCCAAAGGGCTCGATATAATAGTACAGGTTTCAAACAATAACTTTAGGGAGCCCCCAGACTCTCTCGGGGCCCCAAATCCTGAGTGGGAGGCCTGGTACAAAAGCTATTTTTCCAAGTCCCGAGGCAGAACATCGATCGGTGGCATCTCTTCCGGCTGGCAGTAGCTGGCCAAAGTCTCCCACTTCCCAAGGATCGCCCGAAGGTATTTTTGCTGCCCATGGTAAAAGGCAAGGTGTCACCACCCCATTCCAACCGGACTGCAGTTTGATGCAGAGATAACTGGCCAGCATCCTCCTTCATTTCCAGGAGCATCTAATTACCTGGGAGGGAGGGTTACAGGTAGGTTTCAGGCCACCACCCCCATCCCCATCTGATATTAACTTATTGCCTCTTCCTGCCAGCCCCTGCAGCCAGTGCCGCCTGAGACAGATGCCTCTCTTTCTCTCTCTGTCTCTCTCACTGCCTTAAGGGCAGGGCCGGCCCTGATCCTACCTGGCCCAGGGAACCGCACCCTGCCTCAGCACCGAGGGCTTTGAAAGCTGGGGAGGGGGGTGGCTTGCTTTTTCCCGGCACTCTCCTCTCAGATCCTCTCCTATCGCCTGAGAAAAAAGGCAAGTACAGAGCTGTCCGTTTCTGTTCTTAAAGAAGTGGAAGAGGTCATGTTCCGGTTGTGAGGATTGCACAAAAGCAACGGGGAAGGGGGTGGGTCACACTCTCATCTTTGACACACCTGGGTGCTGGACGAGGAGTCGGTCCTCTATCTGCCGAGGTTCGTTGCACCCAGCTATGCTGGCAAGGGGTGCCCTACCATGGGGCAGCAGCCAGGCAGTCAAAAATAAAGGTATGCCAACAACATTTTAATAAGATTGTCCTAAAAGGCATCAGCATCCGTGTAAAAGCATCTGATGCTTACCTTGCACAGAAGAGGAGAGCAGGCAGAGATAGCTTTCTACCCCCCCAACTTGCCCCCCCCCCAGCATCACAGTGGATCCAGCTGGGCCCCTTCTTTTCCATCCCATCAGTGTCAATCATCCTAAGGGGGAACAGGAGTCCACAAAGAAGGGGCCACCACCAACCAGGCCACTTCCCAGACCACGAAAGGCAGAGATAATCAAAGAGGAACCTCTATGATGGAGACCTGTCCTCTTTGTTCCTCTTTAGGGTTCAGCTACCAAGAAGCTAAACAGGCTGTGTTTTGTTTTAGAAGGCAGAGATCATCAAAGAGGAACCTCTTTGATGGAGACCTGTCCTCCTCTTTGTTCCTCTTTAGGGTTCAGCTACCAAGAAGCTAAACAGGCTGTGTTTTCAAATAAAGACAACAGGAGAAGAGTGGAAAGGACACCCATTGCCGCCACCACCCCCAACAACACCAGTGTTTTGCTTAAAGGCAGGACAACCTTATTGCACCAGCAACAAATACAGATGACGGCAGTCAGAACAGAGCTGTCCGTGAGATTAATGCAACCCTGCGCATAAGCCCACCGAAACAATTAAGAAACTTTTCACTGTTTTAATATGCTGCTAAAACACTAGTCGCCTGGGGTTCCACACTGACCACAGGAGGAGGAGACTGAAGTTTCCTTCGCCGGCTTATTCACTCGCCTGCCTGGATTTTCTACTCGCCTGTGGCGACCAAGTGAGTTCTGAAATACCGGGCTGAGGTATTAAGGGAGTGGACACAGAGAGTGTTTTTTTTTTTCTGCTTTACGAGCTGGGTTGTCCTGCAAAATATGGGACCGCATACCACAAAGTTCTCCCAGCTTTGGGAGAACGGAGTAAGCCAAGTCCCAAGTGCTCCCTCCCCTCCCCATCGGTGTCTCTGAAAGGCTGCCCCCCCCCCCCACTAACTCCCATGCAACTGCATTTGCAACCTGAAAGATGGGAAGGAACTATGGTTACTTAGAAGCAAAGGGTGGGCTAAAGAGATCTCCCCAACAAATACTCCCAGCATGCTTTCAACTCAGTCTGATACTACACATCGTCTCTAAAGAGGAAGAGGGAAAGAAAGAGAGGAAAAACTCAGGTCTCAAAGCAAAGCAGACTTCCATAGAAGGCAAGTCAACAGCCCAAACGTGATCTCAACTGCCTCGCCATCAAACCACCACCAAGGTCTTAAGCAGAGCCTTCATCCCGAGTGAGACCTGCATGCAGAATTATGAGCTCCACCTGAAGGGAAGCTGATGCAGCTGCCAGAGAAGATATATAAAGGGGGT